CATCACAGTATCCTTTCTTGACGCAACACAAAATTCAAAATCTTGCAGGGGATTTTCGACGATCCACTGGTGATCTCGCTCTTCCTGTGTCTATTCATTTAGGCATAGCTCCCGAGGTTTTAGCAACGCTCATCTGATGACCCCTGGGAAGGATGAAACCGTACCAACCAAAAAATGCGCCAGGCTTTGTTCATAACATTCAACAAAAGAATGTCATAAGCAAGAGCTTTGTTCGAATTTCCTGTTAATAATAGTTACACATAAGATTGATGGACACCCTGGGACTACTAGCGTGGACCGCCCGAAGTTGTTGGTAAGGTGTTGAAATATTGGTAGCTCGGGTCAGTTTGTTGGTTGTTGATCCGGTGGCTCTTGATCTGTTCGGGAGCTTGGCAATTGGCTTGCAAACGTTTCGTCACCATACGAGAAGATATAATCGGTGGACATCTTCCTCAAGTCTCCGAAGGAGGACGCGACCGATGGTGAACTACTTTCGAAGAAATTGAGAACAATGTGTTCTGTTAACATAAGAAGTTCAGTCTCCTTTTTGGGAGCCAAATGTATCGTAAGTTAATTGAGAAACGGAGTGCACAGCATTACTGACGCTGCACCAATAAGTGATGAATAGTTTACAGTCAGTATACCCAGCTCAGTTCTACGACCCTGATCACGGACTCGGCCAGAATTCTTTTCCCTAATGAAACTAAGATTGGTTGCCGATACAATTTCCACCACCACGAAGTGTTTGTTTGTATTTTTGACTAGCTCGAGCTATTTTTACGTCTCGTAGGACCTCACGCTGGCTAAGTTGGAATTCGTCATACTTTAACGTAAAATCAGTTTGCCCACATCAGTTTATTCCTTAGCATTTTGACTATATATCACCCGTACTACTACTTATCAACCACAAAAAGCAGGATATCTCACATCTTTGGAATTGAAAGCATGCAAAAATTTTCAGCTTCACTGGTGTCTCGTGGATCTTATCGTGTTTATTCTTTTATATGGAGAAGTCCTTATTTGGCAACTCTTGGCACTGGCTACAGTGATGCTGAGATCTTGGAATATGACCCCATCGTCCTTCACTTGACAGCGCTCGCAATTCCACGAGGAGAACTGTAGAAAGTTGAACTAAAACTCGTCTGTCTGTTATTTATTTATTTGGAGTTGCTTCCTTGCAGGTTAGCCAAATCCCCAATTGACAGTCTCTTATCACTTCAAATATGGTTATCCTCCATATAAGGTCGACCGAAAGAACCAGAAAACAGCCATTTATTTCTGCGGTGACCCTGATTAATATAGTCGATGATGTTGACGACGCACATATTAGTTAATCATCTTTCCTCATGCTCAGAGAGCTACTACTGGATCTGAAAGGTTACTAGTAGGTTTGTACGGGCATGAATGGGTAACAAAGATTTTCAGGTTCATTATTCTCTGCGTTTATGTCATAAAGGCTATAACTCAGTATACTTATATACGTATATAACGTATATAATACAATATGATATATTATATGCGTATATATTGTCCATCTCTGTATGTGTGTATATATGTATGCGTAGATGAACACGGAAAAATACGTCAAACTTGGTGGTGCTCTTTTCTAATGTGAAAGATTTATATTAGGCATAAGGGTCGGTTTTCACCCAAACAACGAAATCGATCATGCCACATGCATTGACTTCTCAGAGCGTGATCCATTTGAATGCAGTACGTCCATAGTACGTCAAAAAAACATCTTACGTGCAGGTTACAAATGATTATTATGACAAACATAACTTTGGTTTTCAGCCTCATGGTGAATTATTACAATATTAATAGTAATCAATTGGAAAGATCTTACTAAAGTTGGGCCTCACCTCTGGCCGGAGCCGATAGGCCCCCAAATTTGCAGGACTGGTCAACAGGCGCTATTAAAATATCTTCCAATTAATTCGCATACTTGGTGAGCTGAGGTACTTAAATACAAAGTCTGTCGTTTTCGAAGGCAGACAGTATATCTAACTTCACCCCAAAGGTACTTTCACTTTTTTGCAGCAGTATTGGGAAGAAACACTTCAGCAAACCAGCATATTATCTGAAGTCAGCTGGCAAAGTGGAGCATTTCATGATGCCTTCGAACAGTTCCTTCAAAAGCTACAGGACGAGTGGACTGACACGGGCACCCTGGAATTGGTGTGTGAAATTATTATCAACGGGAAAAACAATGCAGCATTGAAACACATACACACGGGCTCCATGCGATCACGCGCACAAGTTATTTTATTCTAGTCATGGACGAAACTATGACGAAGCAGTTCGTCATGTGGACTTCGACGACGCTGTATGAAGTAGAGCCAAAACCCACGTCTTTTACGTTTACTCTCCATAGGGTGTATGACACCTCACTGATTGAAAACAGTTTCCTAAACGTCTCTTCTATACCGGCTATGGAGGTTTTCTTCAAACATGGTCAGCTACCAATCCAGAAAACGCAAAACAATCACGACTGCTTAAATTTAATTTAAAAAAAACCTTCACCTTTAGATAGAAATGTGCGGTAAAATCAGGATGTATAGAACAGTAGAAACCTGTTGCACACTGTTGTAAGAAATGAGGAACAGTCTATGATTTCCAAGCACCATAGGTGTTTCTGAATGAATGAAACGGAGTCAGGTTTCTCAGTATGCCCAAAATTCTGAGAAGATCCAATCCTTTAGATGAGATGACAACTGTGTTATGATAATAAATAAATATTCCCCGCGTCTGTACAGGACTGAAAACAGACAAATTGTAGACGATGCTCATTCTCTAGATCATCATGTAGAACATTTGCTGCAATTTGTACAAGTTGACGCCGTTTGTGGGCCGCTGCAAGACATCCAAGAAGCGAGCATATTTTGACGCATCAGAAAGTAGAATTTAAGTAAATTAAGTCCACAACAAAGATTGATACGATATGTGTCGCTTCATAGCACTTCCATACAATTCAGTAGTTGATAAATATTTTTTGCTCATGTGAAATAAAATTGTGAGATTAAAAGCAGTTCCAATAAGAAACAGAACATATGTGTAGGCTTTATTATTCCATGATCCTGGTTTGTCAGCCCTCTACCACAATCTTCTTCTACCTATCCGTTTATTTTACGTTTATTGTGCATCTTTCCGAAAAAATCGCCAAAAATGTGCCTGCATGGTTCATCTTATAAGCCGTATATTTCTGGACAATTCCTTGATAGCATACCTATCTATTACAGTAACTTGATAAGGCGTTGAGTAGTCAGCAGATGGCTTTTTTCTAACAGCAGTAAATGCTTTATACGTCAGCGATATCAGCTAGCGTGGAATTTTCCTGTCATGATATTTAGTCAGAATATGTTGCCTCCTTGAAAAGCCGGATTACTTTTGACTGATCAGAAACACCAATGTGATTTTAGTTTGCCAGATTATTTTGCTTGGCATGTAGTGACGGACGTACATGCAGGTATCTGTTCTGTTCCCTCTGACTAGGAGCTTAGATGTGATTTTCTCCAAGCCGGGTGTAAAACCTTCATCAGAATGGTCAACAAAGCCGGTGACAAAGCGAATGCATTTGGGAGTGAGACAAAAACTGAAGCGCTTTGTATTGTTTTGTTATGAGATTGAAGAACTACATTATCCGATAGAGTTGGTTCGCCCAAATGAGGAGATGATACCTCAAGTTACAGGCGGTTTTACCAGAAACGCCACAAATTTTCTGCCACATTTACATGGACCACTCTACATGTCACTTTGACTGAGTCTAAAGGAATAAAACCCAAGCAAACTTGGAATCCATTCAGCTTTTACCAACGAGTTCAGCAACCTAACGAGAAACAAAAAGGCCATTCACTCGATTACTACCTTCAATACAAGTGTAGGATAGCGCAGCAGTTGCTAAGTTTTTCCTCTATTACACTAAATTTAAACGCTCACGAAGATGCATTTATTAATTTTTCACTCTTGTAAGGAAAGGCATACCCAGTGATTTGTAAAAACCTGTCACTGGAAGCCATAAAAACCTAATACCATCTGTACAGCTGTTTGAAGTTAAAGCCACATACAAGATAAAACAACGGATCAGGGGCTATATGGTGAAACCCTAAAAGAAAAAAGGAGTCGCCGATAAGGAGGTGGGCTCATATAGACCAAAATACCATCAACTAGGGACCCGGAACTAAGACTGCTTCCGAATCGTTTGGCAAGGTTGGTACATTCAGATCTACGTACAGAGATTATTACCTCAACGGTTCGATAAGATAACCAAAGTTCCTTCACAGAAGTCTCACTGGAAGGTGGTGGAAATAGTACACTGCCGAAAAGGTATATCACATCAAGAACTCATATTCGCAGGAGAATAAGCTACACATACGCACTTGTCATTTGGCCGATGGGTCATGGAAAGAGGCTATGTTCAGACCACATGAGATCTCTCTTGTTTATGTTAGGATGTGTTCTGACCACGTCCGCGCCGTGTGCTTGGGACTATCACCTGTTTCAAAGCCATGAGGCATAAGACCAGATGTTACCATTCGATCCCCTTCACCGAGTTCATGACCTACATGTAGTCCAGGCACTTGTCTAACTTGCATCCACCCCACCCTTGTTTAAATTCGGGATTATTGACAATGATGGTAGTATCAAAAGCATCAACTTCAAGCGGTTACATGAGGCATGGCTAATTAAATAAGATAATTCTACAGGTTGCCATCACCACGTATAAGCTACGATGTGCTTCGACGACCATAGTGATCTGTTGCGTGCTACTTCTCCCCCACCACCCAACTGAGGGATACCATCATCCTTGAAGATAAGTGAAGTGAGGTAATCCTCACTCGTCAGTTCGCCTGTAAAATTCTAATTGCTGTTATGTCATGTTAATCGCTCGGGTAACTCTGGAGCTTTAGCATACTGTGATGTTCCCTGCCGGAGTGGTAGACTCCATTTTGGTTATAACTCTGTCTTTGAAATGACTGAACAAAGAGCCGAGTGGGGTTTTCGTTTGTTCGGGCCGTCTTGCAGTCGTTTCTCAAGATCAACGGTGAAATAAAAAGCCTGGGCGTTTGTACTCGTTCCTGTGTCGAAGTATGGAAACTGTTATCAGGGCTGTAAAAGTTACAGGTGTGTTTGAAACAGTTTCGAAGTGCGATTGCCATCAAGAGTATTCCTGAAGTCACAGCTAAATAAGTGTTAGTGATCAGCATGTGACAGGAAGATTGCTAGCCTTATGCTAGCAGATTAGCGATAAAACATCCGAACATTCTGCTTCACAGTAGTGTTCCAAACAAAATCCCCTGGAGTTGAAGATCTCCATTCACTCATTTTTCTTATTTGCTTCGTTTGGTTAGGAAGATCGGAGGATTTCAAGTGAGCGTAATTTCCCTGGTGACCCCGGTAAACCTGTGTCCATATGTACTGAAGGAAACCTGAAATGAACAAATGGGAGGAGTTAAGAAAGGAAGGGAACATTGTTTTCCAGAATGAATTATCACACTACGAAGACTAGATCAGTGGACAAAACATACACTCAGTTAACAGCAATCTTCCATTAGTTGGTCCGCAGACAATAAGTTATCTTTAGTCAGGGTTCTCAAAAAATGTCAAACTCTAGACCAAAACCTAGAAATCCTTTACCCTCCATTGCACCATCTGTGGCTCCAGAATGGTACTCAAAAACAAGTCACTAATAACGCAACGAATCAAATCATCTTGCGGAACCATTCGGTAGTTCCAATAAAATGGATATAGATAGCTTATCAGCACAAACTTTTTCAGTATTTCTGTGAAGCACACTGAATATCCTGACTGTTGGCCATGGATGGGGATCAAAATACTTAGGGTTCCCACTTTCACAAGATAATGGACATGCTCTGTGAGAGCGCACACTGCGTAAAAATGATGGTGAGATTCAGCAGGTATTTCACTTTGTGGGACGTAAGGAGCTTGAACCCGAAAGTTTGTGACAGAGGTGGTTTGGGCTCTGATATTATTTATTGCTGGCCTAACCCTAATCACCAAGTAAGTTAAAGGCATATGGATCGTCGTCCACATCAAAAGAGGTAATGACTACCAAAATACTACTAAAATGGGCTTAGCAGCAATGAGTACAATATTCACGTAAAACAAATGTCATGGATGCATATTTACTAAGGCCAAACAAGAGTAAAATGAGGCGATGTAAGACAGTGCACGTTGCATAACCTTGCACTTAGTCGTAACCGAAAAGTTCAAATAAGACTGTATATCCGACACTCCACTCGGTCATAACTGAGCACTAACATAGACATTTAGTTGGAAATTTGACGAACTTTAACAAAAAGTAGTGCCCCAGAACACATACTATAGCATGGAGCCACTAACCATTTGCATTGCGTGTAAACGTTGTACTAACTCCGATCCAAAGCATTGACAGGGTGTTGAGTCAAGTATACTACTAAATGAGAGCATTAAGGGTTGAAACGGATCTGCCAAAACCTTTTTGCGATCACTGTCGTATACATAGTCACCTTGCTGGCAACCAGATATGCCTGCTAATGATCAGAACTACATGTGCGCACTCACTTTTCAAGAAGCTATGCGTTGATGACGATCTCATTTGTTTTATCCATAGATTAGGGAAGAAAATAACCAAAGCTGCGTGGAAGACCGTTTCATACAAACCGAGAACGGACTGGTGAAGTGAACGAAACAATACCACCAGTGAAATGAGGAAAGCCTATGGAGCTTGGACACAGGACCGGAGAGTGCTCGCATGCTTCACCAGTAGAACAAACCTTTAAACTAGCATTAAAAAGCCCAAAATAACCCAGTGGATTAAATGGGAGCAGACCAAGACGCAAAACAAAGTGTAAATTTTCTAAGTAAAACAGGAATAGAGCACTCTGAAATGAGCTATTAAATGCACCAGGCGAATACAAGGAACGGGGCGCATAAGCAACATAAATCGCAAAAAGACCAATAGGATTGCAAGAAACGTGCTTTCCAATTAACCGACCATATCAATATTTATCTGAAAATCCGAAGCACGTAATGTGCAATCGCGCGACGACGAGTTTCTCTAGACTAGTGATGAAGGGTTTTCAAGCGTACTGTCACGCTCAACAGACAGAGGGGCAACCACTTGAGCAACTATGAAGACCAGTTCCGTTACATCTCTAAGATTAGTCAGATATTTCATATATAGGACAAACAACTATCACATTAACAACCCACCGAAAGGAAGAGGCTGGATGTTAAGTTACGAGCGGCGCAAAGCTTGTGGTGCTACCGCAACTTTCCCAGGTAGAGTGACGTTAAACGTATCCAAGCGAAGACAACTTTCCACAGCCGGAGCAATCTGAAAATACATTTGAGTATATTAATAGCCAAAACTATTAAGAACACGAGAAACACCACTCATTCATCAAGTTACAATTCCAGCCTCTTTATTATGTGTGCGTTTAATGCAATTTAGAAATTGGTCATTCGTTATGCCTCTATAGTTTACTGTTTCTGAATATCAGAAGTGATCGCTCACCATTTTGCTTCATGCCCAACTTATGCGTAAACATACAAGAAGCTGCCTACTGTGGTAGTGTCTCAACAGTGATTGCACATAGTTCTTAGAGTTGCCGAAGATCAGTGGTGAAGCCAGAGAATGTTCAAATTAGCTATAGCTAATAAACGGGCCATGATTTGCATAAAACAGAGAATGAGCAACCAGCATGCACGTTCATGACAGGGCTGCCAGCTAAAAGGAGATAACGGAAATAAACTTATCCACTGATATGTGATAAGATAAACCTTGTTCCGGCAGCTTAGTGATTGACGGTTGGTGTAAGGCTTACTGAGCAGAAACGGCGCATTCCGTGCATTAATTTTGATATGCGTATGAAGATAGGCTTTGAAAGACAAGGCTCCGTGAAGCACAATTCGGGTGTTCGAAACGTAAATGGCATGATAAACTGTCACTCAAGCAAACCGGAACAGTGGAGCGGTAGGGTGAACGCTAGATTATACAGACTAATGGGAGTGAAATGTTGGAGTAAGAAGCAACATACACCATATAAACCACACAGTTCTGTTCTCACAACTACGCGGGAAAATTTCCTCATTGACAAGTTTGAAAGATTTATTTTACAAGTTAGATGAAGCGCCCTTTCATAAATGTTAAAACAATACCTGCATGCTCAGTGGTTTTCGTCGACAAAACTCATGGCCACCGGAGAAAAGCAAAAATCCTACAACAAACGCCAAACACTTCGTCCTTTGAAGCAAACTGCTGAATTGAAAAATGCAGGCGTAAAAGTACACACAAATCCACCAACCATGGTATGGATCGCTCTCTGGGGGGCTCCAATTAGAAGGCAGTATGCTCAGAATTTTGCCGGAATACAGTGGAATATAGTACATAAAGAAGATTGTTTCTCTTGTAAATGATGATCACTGCAAACATTTCTCGATAACATGTGGTCTGAAAACTTCACTTTGAGAAGCTGATTTAAACGGCGTATATGGTGTTCATTTGGTCTAAGTGAATGCTGTACACTAATGTTACCTTGTACAACAATTGTGAGCTTCTACTTTGTTGGTAAGTGCAAAAATAATTGGAGAGCTGCAGGAAATTTAAAAAAAAAGATTATTGGGACCATTTATCTGAAAAATGTTTCAATTTAATCAATTCAGCACGACTGCAGTACTCTCATGAGGATGTCCTCACAGTAACACTTGAAGGGATGCTTTCAAACAGAAGGCACCACGGTAGTCTTCTCCGTTCGCAGTAAGTCAGCGTTGAATCCCCCGAGTGAATGACTACCAGATAAAAAATATTTGACTCGTGTCTCCGGAGATACCAAGTCGCAGGAGTCTGAACAGGAGTAGTTGAGATGCCGTGGTCACATTTGGACCACGGACATTCTGGTCGGTAAGTTCGTGCCTTAACCACTAAGTCCTCTGGAGCTACCTGGGAGGAAACAAGTCGTCAGTAGTAGCCCTCTAATGTTGCCTAATAGGAATGGATCATGGCAAGTGACAAAGTTTGCGGTGGCTGTCGAGTGATAACTCTGCATTAGTCGCAAAGGGAACACCACTGATACTCCGTATCCAGGGAAAACCGAATTTCATGAGCACAAACGTGAAGTAATCCTTATGGTGGGGACTGCAAACGACAAAAATTACCCATATCTTGGGCAAAATCTGAGTCAAGAACTAAGTAATGTGGCCATAGCGCCAACTGATATTTTGTGTTTGACAGAAATTGAAAGGTAGTTCATCCAGAGACAATGAAGTAAGCCCTCCCCAACAAAATGTAACGGGGGATATGTAGTTCAGGTAATGGTTATTTCACATTGGAAAGTAAAGATAAAAGGAGGAGAGAAAGCGTAAAATCGTTGGCATTCGAGCGTTTACGGCTATTGGAGTAAATTTTAAGATGAAGTGAAATGAAGATACTAGTACAACCTTCGCCAATCAGCGGTACTGAATACACTATTGTTTGTGTTGAAAGTCGGGTTCAGCTCATGAAGAATTGTGACAGTCGAACGTATATGTGCTACTATAACTGACGTCATAAACTGATTAAGCTGGGAACAGTGTGTTCACGAAATAGGTAGTCACTTCTTCTGAACATACTGTTCATAACTGTAGTCCTAGTTCCCCCATACTTTTAAAGGCAGTCGCCCGGATTTTATGAGTGCCACTTATTCTCTGTTTTCGGCTCAGAATAAGCTTTCTTCACCATATCCTCTTTAAACCAGCAAACAATGCTAAGTAGGATTCCGCAGCTTACTATGGTCAATCAGACAGCCCTTTTGCATAACTGAGGCATAATCCACTAGAAACGGTATTGGCTTCGTTTAGAGATTTTTATCAGAAGTATAGATGATATCCTGCGACTCGCTAGGTCGGAACTTCCAAAGTTCAGAGAATAACAGGGTCTGTTATGCGAATAGGTCTACTTCAAGCTGACTGTAGAGAACAGGAGGTGGGGCTTTGCCCCTTACCTCCCGTTGCTAGTTGAAGTTTTGCAAAGAATTTCATATTCCGTCTCCTCGGAACTTAAAAGTTAATATCACGAGCAGCTCCTGGTTGGAGCTCTGCACTTGTCTATTAAACCCATAAGTGTCTCATTACATCGGGGACGTTTGTCAACTGCTAATTAGGAAACCAAGCATTTTGTCAACTCTGATAACCTTATATGCTTTATCATAACAATTTGTTGCGCCTTACTGATAATCTTCTTTCGCCCGTGGTTCCCAAAGTCTAGTCCCGGGGGAGGAAGCTGAACAGCTAAAGTAGAATCACGTCTCGCTTAAATTTTCTTAGATCCCGTCAAAGAAGATTTTGTCTAGTTTTCACCACAAACAATATGTCCCATCTAAATCGTTTGCTTTTGACTCCTGATGGAAGTGACTTTTCGAATAATGGCGGAGGGTTTAGGATCACTCTATCTCTGAAAATAATATTAATCTCCTTCCATGCTGTCGCTTTTTTCATATCAGCAAAAACGGTTCATCCACATTTTCTCGTCTCTTATCTAGGTAGCGAATCGCAAATAACCATCGTTGTCCCCAGCCCCAAAGGTTCACTACGGTAATTGCGGCAAGCAGGTGGGACTTCGAGAGTCACCTAGCAACTGACACGTGCTAAACAGCTGGCAGCAGAACTAATGATACATATGCACGAAAGGCGGGTCAAGTTCTCTTCGTCACCTCGGTTTTCGTTTTTTCCATGTTTTCCAAGCCAAGCGTGAACCAGCTGGACGCGCAGAGAACAACTGGTAGCACATGTTCATTTACAAAAGCGGTTGTCAACTAAAATCGGCAGTGCGGGTGGTAAGATGCGTTGGATGGACATGTAGCAGAGCAAACACCTGTTAATTGGGATTATTGTCTGCAATCCGTACGCTTCTAGAGCACGTTAATAGTTCTCCGGGTGGGCAACACCGTATATCTTGACCAAGCAGTCGAGGACCTCGAAACTCTGAGCCTAAACCTTGGACATTGTCAGCTATGGGTTCCAGTGACAGGTGCATTCATTGTGAGTTCATATTTTCTCTACAGCAGCATGCATGGGATTTTGACTCTGAACTCCCAGATATAACTAAGAGCAGTATGTTTAACATTGACCACGATCGGAATTTGAGGGAAAAATCCCTCTGAAGCTTGGAAAAGACTATGTTTTTGACGTTAGATGCATCCGCGCAGAAAGTAAATAGGCTTATGATTTTCAACCATGGTGAAGAGATGAATACCCACCGAATCCTCAACATGACTGGAATAAGCTAACATCTCAGGTGATGTCAGCTGACTTATTAATGTTCATACATACATACACACACTGAGAACTTTACGCTCACACTTTTATGCTTGTTGCGAATGCTGAGTACACGTAATAGAGGTTCCCAAGCACAAACTAGACAGCAAAATGAAATATTACTGTGGCTACTATGGAACTTGTTGAGGAAAGGAGAAAAACCGCAGATTATTCTAATCCATAAGACATCGATGTCAAAAAATCGCTACAGAAATGCAATTGTGTTTTGTCTCCCAAGTGATGCTACCCAAACTTAAGTGTCTGAGGTAATGAAACGGTGCCTCTTGCTTTTAGTTCTACCAATAATCAAACTTTTAATTTGGAGAACTATGTTCAAGTGAAAAGATCTTTTGATCAAGCTACGTTAGTTCAGCACGCAAATGTGACAAAAACATTGCAGCTATGCTAAAACGGGATCAACTCGATATAAATCAATACATATCATATATCAATAGTATTTGAAGATAATTTTTATAGGAGTTTGAAATAGGGAAATAATCTACTGAAACTTACACCGTAATCAGCAGGTCCGGGCATAGGAGTGGTCGCTTTTTCTTTAAACCTTTCCGCCCGGTACACAAACTTGCCCGTGTTTTCATTCAATGAACTCGGTAAACAAAAGTCCGCCGGGCCTTTAAAAAAAACAAATCGATAACAACAGGCGTACGCGAGAGAGCAGTATACACAAAACACAATGTTAAGTATAACATGAAATCCCTTGTTTTTAAACGAAAGTCTGATGGTGCAAGTGATTCAGGTCTATGTTGATAAGCAGAGTAATGATCCACACCCACTGCACCTTTATTGGGAATCATCACTCTTGCGTACTTCATGAAACACCTATAGGATTCAGATCCCCATACTTCTCGATCGAAGATGAAGATTTTCAGCCATCACTACGTGCTTGGTTGGCCATACTTTACTTCCCACATTCTTGCTAAAAAGCTGTAGGTTCTAATATTCCGACAAATTCAATTAATCCGAACTGTAATTATTTTAGGTGACAAAGGGGGGATTTAGGCGTTGGTTGGTTTGGTGTTGATTGGTGGAAACTTTGATTTTAGATTTCAGAACCCATCCCCGCTTCACGTTACTTCCAAAACAGGACACAATTAGTCAGGTTATATAAGGATTTGCAACTTCAAAGAATGCTGGTTGTCAAGAAAACGAAGGAAATCGCGCAAAAAAAACAGATCTTTGTTGGTTATCTACACAACACTGTAAAACATTCTCGTGAGGTAGGATTTGTTTATCTCACCAAAAAAACTGACATCTTTCAAGCGACAGCCACTTATTTTCTCCGCAATGTTTCTATCTCCAGAATCAGGAAACATAATATAATACAAGTGAAGTAATTCACATCCATTGTGAACAGCGCCATTCATTCAACCACATGAACCGTGACTTGGACTTGCTGTGAGAGTGAATTTTGTGCCTTGTTGTCCAGAAAACCTCAGTCGTCCATTGAGGTGAATAGTGACCAAGTATTCAACGGTTCACCCAAACTCAAGTTAGCTCTACCGATGTGTAACTGCGACCTGCAAGCTTGCTGACGGGCAGTAAGGAACCCCACATTAAAACCATCCAAGGGCCATTTCACATTCAGATTAAGGCACAAAACAAAGACAAAATCGAGCAACATTATGAAGTCATATCATCTAGTTCAAGTACGGGTCTACAAAGGAAAGGCAACCATTAAAAGAACTTGGTGTTTGTCTCGATAAAAATGTCTTGCCATTAAGGATTTCTAGAACAGGCCTTCACATTGAACAAACTAATAACGGTAATTCTCCTTTGGCATCAGAGAGGTGCTCTCACCGTTAAAAACCTTACTTTTATTCTTGAAGAGCACGAAAAACTCTGAAGGTTTTATATATTTAATTTGGGCGGACGGAACTGGGAAACACTGCTGAATTAACCCAGACCAGGAACGCACCGTACTACGTGAGTGAATATGTGTGAACTCTTTTTCCTACACCTAAAATAACCAACAGTCACTCATGGTGTGATGCAGTACTAGATTCATGGAATCTGCTGAATACTGAACAACCTACCAGGCATAGACGGGTCTTTCGGTGCGAAAAATGACTGTTTATCAAAACGATCAGCAGTAGACAGGAACATCCCTTGACGCTCCTTCCCTTCCAATGTCAAGGGTGATCTGCGACAACACTTGGACTGCGTAACATCGAAAGATTCTGCCAATTCGTATGTTCCTGGTCCGGGAACATCCTAAAGGTGAAAAATGATCGTTGATAAGAGTTTAAAAACATCTTCGTAAAGTTCATCTCTTTTACCGCCGAGCAGTTGGCTGTTGAAATTTTTTGGGGCCGCATCAGAAAAAGAAGGCAATATTTGGTACTCTGGTTGTGAATTGATTAGGATTTCTTTGCTATATCGATCAACGAAATTGATGCTTTGTGAAACCGACATTACCCTTCAATGGCATGCTCACTCATAAGCTATGTGATACAAAATATTCCTTCCTAATCAGGCTGAACCTGTCCGTGTGGTCAAAACCACTGCTGTGAAGTTAGAAGGCTAGCTAAATTTTTACTAACCACTTGGATGTGGTTTTTTTGGAATCATAAATCAACGTCAGAAAGATAGGACATAAAATTAGCAGAAAGGCTGTGGAACGGATTTATGACGTTTCCGGATTGGGCGCCTATATGACAATGTAAATTATAAATGGGAGTTTTCGGGTGCCAATTCCTGTATAGTGTACAATACGCTACCACATATCTTCGTCTTCTCAAACATTAGGATTTCAATAGTTGAAGCGAGTTTGGTAGTGTACTCATAACTACCAATTGCATGCCCGTAAACATGCCGTGGTTATGCGCTACGTTACCACGGTCAGAAAAATTCGAGGCAACACTGTGGAGACATGAACGATACGCAAGTGAGTTTTAAGCGACTCTTTAAATTCCAGAATCTGTGACTATGGCTCACTAAGGAGAGGTACCTTCGCAGTCAGCTTATTCTGTATCTCCACTATAATCAGTTGAATGATTGGATATGAATGGTAAGTGTATATTGCTTGAATCCGTGGAAGGGAACTAATGGATGAACAAGATTCACATTGAGGAAATGAGCTAGAGTGAAATTGGGTAGTTTGTGTGCCACTATACACCAATAGCTTATCTATTTAGTCTTTTGAGATACGAAAACTCGTCCAGACGGTCGGTGTGTGTGTGGAGATCAAAGGCTGATCAGCCAATTGTGGTCAGACGGTTACGTGTTAAAACCATTAGCTGTTAGGTCATAGGTTCGAAACTTCGTGGATTTTCGTGAAATTACACTGTTGATTACTCCCAATAGGGCTGAAACAGCTATAATTGTTCCTCGGGTTTTTAGTAAGCATTAGCTTCGTTTATAGAACGGACTTTGTGTTACGAATTCTCAAATCTCCTCACACCACCAACAAACACGAATCGGGGGCTCTATTTCTTTTGTTTATAAGTATGTTTATAAGTGTGATGGCCAGACAGACCAACGCGGCTATGTGACATAGGTTCTTGATTAACGGAAACATCATGAAAGCTATTCTGCATTCTGGCTCAAATGTAACGGGAAAATGACGAATCCAGCTGCCGACCACATCTTGTTGATTCAACCATATTTCAGTAGCAGTGCTGCATCTGGCATTCTTCGTCTCAAAGTTTAAAACGATCCAGACCACAAAGACAATAAAGGATAATAAGGTTGTGAAGATGTTCTCAGTGTTGCGGTCTCTAAACTGGGCCTGCATACATCTTTTGCACGATTGCTGTAATGCCAAACAACCAACAGCCGGAAAACTGACCCAGTTGTACATGCTAACTACTCGAACAACTAGTGAGTAGTTGAAGACGCGTAGGTTTCGTATCTGTGCCACACCCGTTTTGAAGTCCTCTTCCAGCCCTGTTGCGAATAGTACGGTTAGCCTCACCGAATAGGCGTTCGAGATTCATTCAGCACTGCACACACTTAATAGTACATGGACTGGAGTTTCGGTCATGTCAAGCCTATCGCCTTTAGTGTATTAACATGGGCTAAGGTATCACGTCGACGGCAAGAGGAAGTAGAAAATTTTCTGGATCCGTTTTACCCCGGATAGGCATAAAAACATGTGTATGAAAACGGAAGAAAACAAGCCGTAATCTCAGGTGGGTTGCAACAGGGAGTTAAAGGAAAGTTTTTCACAACAGACAAAAATCATGCTGGTATTATTAGTAAACGTTTGGCTCTGAAGAATGACAATGCGGTCATCCGGTAATCCGGACAAATAACCTTAAAATATTCACATACCTTAATCCTTATGTACAAATGGACAGCCGTGCTATACAACGGACTACTGAAAGGCCTTCAAACATATTTGAACCTAACGGGAAAATTTTCTTATTTATTGTTCTAAGAGTTGTACTGGAAATCGTAGGTCTCTCCATCAAATGATCCACCAGTAAACGGAAGAGATTATCACTGCAAGCTGACAAAACCCCAGTGAGTTGTCTGATAGTAATGCAGTAATTCTTTAGCAAGACGCTGAAATCTGTGGGTGAACAGTATAAAACATCCTCGACAGCACGACATCACTGTTCAACACCGGTACCTCGCTGCCGTGAAAAATTTCCGGTAAGGTGTCAGGTAAGAGCATCGGCAATGTTTAGTGATGAAAGCCGTTGTGAGATAGGATTCAGTCTTCAAATTGTAGGTGTGAATTTGTCAACAGCGTTCGTGTCATTTTAGGCAAGAGGATATCAGAAATCAAAACACCCTATACAATGAACATAAGGTAGCTATTTATTGTTTGTGGTAGTTGGGGCTAGAAACGGTTCCACAGTATTAACTTGTCCATCCCGCTTCGGTTTGAACAGAGTCAAGGAGCTTTTGGGTGAGTTTAGCTGTGACGCCATATCTTGCAACTCAAACTATTCTTATACGACAGACGAAATGGATATTTTGATGTTTTCACAGGAAATTTTCGTGCAGTGGGAGTTCTAGATCGTTCTAATTGAAACACTCTTAAGGTCCATGAGGAAGACCCTGAAACAATGCGTTCTGGAAATACACTAACATGTCTGCTATGGATCTTCCTACCCTGTATACAAACGAGTACTTAACAAGTCCTTTAAAGTAGCCAGTGATAGCCAGTATTACATGATCTTAAGGGTGCAAATGAACAGCTGACACAATGCGACACAGGGTTATATAGTTGAGCCCTTTAACCCCATTTTCTCCGGGCCGCGGTCGTTGTTGTATCGTGCTTTTGTCAGTTTATGGTAAAATTCTCTAGGAGATGGCGTCATTGGTTGAGAATCTGAACCCTCATTTTATATGTGATTATCCAAACAGATAATTATTGCGACGTTTTTACAAAAGCATTATGGGGTCCGCTGACATCTGTGTTTTTCGCTTAACGCTTCTATTTCTGGCCTACTAGGCACATCGACTTTCGAGTATCCCCACCAACACGGCGTAAGAGAAGTTCCTCGTAAATTGCATTTAGGTTAAAAATGCTGGCTTAACCTGAATAAGGCATATTTTTTTCACGGCCCCATACTCTGGTCTGTAGCATTTATGTTAGGAAGAATGCCATTCTGTCGGTTAGTATGCAGGAACAGCCGGAATGGTAACATAAAGTAAAACAAGCATAGATGTAACTGCAAACTTTACTTTTTAGAATCAATTTTCCCAGTGGGTTGACTAGATACTGCACAGAAACTCTATGCTAAGCTATAAAATGAATATGGTATTTGAAGAGCATCTTAGGGGGCTTTGTTTGGTCGAGAAAATGTGTGAGTGGGCTACCACAGAAGTAACAGATAATCATTTCGATATGCAATTCAGCGGATAACTACACAAAAGCACATTTGAGGGTACGTAGTTTTCAGAGCTGCTCATTGTTCATCAGAAAATTTTTAAGAAGCAACCACAGTGACTTACAGACTGAACAAGATTGTAGACCCTTGACCCAACACCGAGATTCGGAACTTTAGCCCAATCTCTTTTAGGTTCTCGATCGAATGCATCTTGATTCTGCGCGGCATTTGGGACACCTTCAGTCTCTTTCGGCGTTAATTTAGAGCCCCCAAGCTGTTCAGGTAGGACAGTTGTAATTCGTCTGGCTGTACTTCCAAAAGGTACGCTCTGTTTCAGCAGTAATTTCTGGCCGTTACGTCTTTTCATTTCGTCGATGAAGCTGTTTGATGGCTCATAGCTGTTTGGAGCTAGGAAAGTGAAGCAGCGTTTTGTTGGATCGAAAAATCGTTGGTAGATCTTAAAGTTACACTAGTTCACGATTTCAGTTATAAAACAATGAATACTTTTGTTCTGCTTAGTGGAGATTTCTGGAATCTTCTATAGCCACATAGGTTTTATTAGCCCTATCATCACACCAACTCTGGTTACGTCGTGTTCGACACCTTCGACTTTCTACAAAAGGATATACCTGTGTTTACTAAGAGGATGATCAGAAATCTACCTTGGGTAAAAAGACACATAGTATCTTCATAAAATACTCTTTGGGTCAGTCGCATTGAGTCCGCGAGAATGTTTGGCTTATTTGTTCTTCTCTTCTGAATAGGTCACGCAAGTATACATAACTCAGTAACCATGTGCTTTGAATTCAGTAGGTTAGTTATGGGACAGTTGGAATGCAAATTTTTAGCCAAGATCAGAAAAGTCTGAGGAACGCGCTTAATGGACCCCAAGCTCACTTGTGATCTGAGGAGGAAATAAACTATAAGAAAGTGCAGTAAAAAACTGTCTCACGGTTTCAAGCGGCAAGGCTTTTTGACGTCGCCATTAAACACAAACTCCCGATGTAGTAACCTTTAAGGCAAACCTTTTGCATTGAATTATTATCGGCAATTAAACACAAAATGTGTAAATCAATATTAAATGTTCAGTGTAATAGTTGCTTTCACACAACATATCTAAGGAGGAATTTAAATAAATGGTCATCAAAAACCAGTGTCATATATCTGTTTTTCCTCCGTTCGTTTCAAATTTGTTTCACAAAGGCTGTCTCACTGAACAGTCCTAAATTGAGTATTTCTCAATGCTCAAAACATACTCCGGCACTCGTTTGTCACTTAAAGTTTGTCTCACTGATCAAAAGTCAACTGACCGGAGGATGCTCTGAGTGTTTTTTCGACTGCTTTGTTGGACTACCATAATAGTTGCGCTGGGAACGTTAGGCAGGGGTTATAATGTTTGAATGCCAATCATGTTTGTAGAAAATATATATACTCATACAGACGTCCCCATCTGAAGGGACGCCAACCAGACTGCACGCAAAGTGAACAAAAACTGGTTAACATTCACTAAGTCACTTGTTTCAAGAAACCAATGAGAGAACCAGAAGTTGTGGATTATAAGCATGCATGTCCAGCGCCAGCTATGAACGCCTGTGGGAAGATGAGTCCTGCATTGGCAAAAAACACTGGATGACAAAGGATAGTGTCGATTTTCAAATGAAGATTGCTCTAGCGACCACCACGGTGCATTACTAGATTGACTCGAGTTGACTAACTGGCAATCCGAAAGCAATCCGGAATTTCTGACTCCGCATTTATTCAGATAGATAACATGCAGCATCGCAGTAAGCTAACCTCCAACTTCCAGGAGCAGACTGGCGGGAAGCACGCTTTTGTATTTCTAAGTCGAACTCTTTAGATGTTTTTCCGACTTACCCTACATTCAAATGGCAATAAAAAAGTGCCCACCAAAATGCTACGCGTTGCCCTTCAGGTTGACAGATGGTAGGCTTCCTTGTGTATCAGGACCAAAGCATTACACCAGAAATGAATACAACCACTTTTCAATGGGCTATCAAACACGGAATCACTGAACGGAAGTTTTATACGAAAAGCTTTTATTTCAGTTGTACTGGACTGAGGCCATTCTCTCTCTCTACCTACGCTGGCTAAATTAAACTAGACAGAAACAGTCCTTGACTCTCATGTGTAGCGCTTCTTTTCTCACTGATTAGTTACATCACAGAGCTTTACTAAAGTTGATCTAGTCAACCATCGAATAATTTAGCGCGAATCAGTACAGAACTAGTCCGCGAGGATCAACAAAAAGTGAAGCTTAGTCGGAGATTTTCGACTGTTGTCCCCTCACATTTGTATTGAAGCTACTGGATTTAGTGAATATAAGTTTCTGTCATCTTTTGGAGCTGTTAATCGACGGAAAAATATCAACAGAATGAAGAAGAGCACTCGGCACTCAGGGTGACCGATGGTAAGGTGATCTCTTGGGATGCCCCCCGTTATCAAGAACCCTTGAGTTCTCAGAAGATATTTACTTTGCTGGGTTTGTGAGACTGTGAGTGAGATCGACCTTTACTGGAGAAGGTTTGTAAAAGCTGTTGAATAGTCCAGTTTATATATGCCGCTTACCGGTCACCCGAGGACCTTTTAAAAGGACGCATTATATGCGATGGCGAGGACTGCACATTCAAAAAAATGAAGCGGAAAGTAAACGCATGTGACACACCCAGCGAATCGGTATTGTGGTGGCTAAACGCTCCCAAATCCATAGGTTACTGGGACTGAGTGATAAAACCTATTTATAACCACTAGATTGTAAGAAAGCGTCACATTCACCCTACTCACTTAATGAGGCACCGAAAAGAGAATAGAATTATCCCTCGAGTAAAACGGAATGGGGCTTTGTTGTCCATGTGATGCCGACCGGGAGTACAACAATGGAGGCGCAACGAACTGTCACTCAGTATGTACAAGCTATTAACACGTTCCAATTTGTTCTCCTGTTTCCCTGCATCTTTTACTTGCTCAGTTTTAGAAGCAATTTGGTAAATTCCTATCGAATTGCGTACACAAGATGTGACCAGCATTGATAGCCCGAAAACATCAGGGAGAGCTAAACTATCAGTAACCAAGGGATGCTTTAGAAGATGTGTGAGATGGGGTAAAAATGTTGAGTTTTGCTGAATTTCTCCTTCCAGGGGACTGTTGTATATTACGGAATTTCCCTTCAAGAAAACCTCTGTATTGGCACACCAATAAGAGCCGTAAAATTTCGGCATTTTGACTTGCAGCATCATTTAATGGAGTCAAATTTTATATAGCATACGTGATAAGCAGCCTGTGTCTATTAATTAACTTGATTTGCAGAAACTTGACAGAAACTTGTTTACCCACACTCACCATGAAATGATGGCGAAGTGGTTTTTTTATCAAGAAAAGTAAACTCGAAACCTGTTCTGCCTCTTGAACTCGAGAAGTCTACACTGGGTCTTTCGCCCAAAGATACCAATATTGTCCCAATTCAAAAATGTGTATGAGACTTTCATTCCCCATGGCTATAAAGAGGTAACTTCACAAATGGTGTGAAAAGGCTTTCAATGGTAAAAGTTATTCCCTTTGCTTTACGCATGAATAACGAGAATATTTCAAGGGGAAACAACTGTATAAGCAAATATAATATATGTGGATAAGAGAAAAAATAAAAATGAACGTGCTGATCCTTGTGGTAACTGACCTGGTGAGCCTTCGAATTTCGTCTTAAACCGAATCGCAGTGCTATTGAATGGTGCTTTAGATGGAGTAGCACCCCACTTCTGCTGAATACTGTAAGTATCTGGTCCTGGAGTGTCGTCTGGTGGATTATCAAACCTCTGTTAAAAAATATTAGAAGCACAATGACAAAAACATTTGAGGTATCGCATCCATATTTAATTGATTTGATCAAACATGTCAGTTCGTATTAGTCAGTCGGGTCATTGAATTCAGCTCTACTGTCCGACAAAATATATACCTGGCATTTCACTAAAATACTTTTTCCAAAAGCAAGCACAAGTCACGTGGCTATCCGTATGTTTTCGTATTTTTGTTCCTATTCAAAATTTGCAGCTGTTACAAACGGCAGAATATTGAATCCGCTCTTGTGTTTTCAGTTAGAACGTTTACACTCAGGTAGCTGGATTACTGGAAGCCACTGACGCCAACAAGTCCAGTCGCCATATTGTACTTATAGGCGTATCGAGTGGACGGTTAGTCAGTTTCCGAAGCCTAAGAACCCACAATTTTACACACCGTTCATCAAAAACCTGTACAGACCGCTTAAGTATTGGTGCTGAAGTTCAGCTGCAAAACTGAGCCACATCTGAAACAACTTATTGGCAGAATTACTGTAATTTGTATACTGCATCGGTCTTAAAGCAAAACCAGTTGAATCTCTCGTTAATGACACACCTCAGCCGAAGCCCTATGAGTGTGTGATCAGTCGAGAAAGTTCACGTCGATATCTCGAGAAGTGTACCGACTGCAGCATATTGTCATGAAAAATATCCTAAACGGGGTATTCTGGTGAGACTCTCGCAGATGCCACTGTAATGTTCGAACTTCGCACACTTCGCACCAACGGGTGTTCCTTCAGGTTGCTATCACGTGTTTGGAGGCGTCGTGGCGTGACAGTGCAGGTTGGCAAACAACCGCATGCACCTGCGTCAGCATGTCTGAACGAGGTAATCCATCCGGCTGCGCCGGTAACGCGATCGGTAACACTGCAGTCTGATTGGCCCGTCAGGGTTATGGACTGAGCATGTGATTCAGTGCTTGCGTCCGCATGGATGTGCATGCTTGTGATTTCCTCCCGGCCCGCATGTGTCTCGCTCGACCTCTTTTTTGAATTTCGTTTCGGCATCAGACAGTATGATTTTATATAAAACACCCGACCCACGAGACAGGACCAAACGGGGCTGTACTGGATCGTTCAGTTGTGGGTGCGTCCATGCCAAGGGAGGAAAGCATTGAATTCGAGTTTCCACATCATTAAAGTTCATCAGCAATGCATCCTTGGCCCGACTGGGCTTTGAGCTATGTATATCTGAAGTGCGCGGTTAGAGTGTGCCACTACTGAACTAGCACACGCTGGAAGCAGCTGAAGTCTTATATCTGAACAGGTGAACATGAGAAACAGACTCTTAAGAACTGGTCGTTTTGACCCAAAAATTCAAACTTTGGATAATGCACGCAGCTTGACTAGAAACAATACATCTAAGATGGCGCGTCGATCACCGCTGCCACCCAAATGTAACGGCTCATAAGCCACAGAATGAAAGCCACTGACCTCAGCTTCCACATTAAAAGGAGCACCGTGCAGAGGAACGCCTCTGAAAGATCGCTGCGCCGTATTCGCCTTGATTACATCGGGAAGCTCGTAAGCATTTGGCGCCGGAAAATCCTAAGGGCGAGGGAATGAAATAAAAATGCGTTGCATAGTAATCTGTAAATTAGTGCTACTTTTAATCTGCTTGTCAGATAAACAGTATACGTAGTCTACGTGTTACTGAAGTTACTAATCTTCCGAATCATCGGGTTCTCCGATCACGAGCTGATTAGACTATGTGAAATTTTCTGCCACAGCGAAGTTCTCACCGACGAAAGGTATGTGAAATCAAGCCTTGCTGGTGAACCCTATAACGTTAATCATGATTTCAAACTGGCTTGAGGGGAATCTTCAGAAAAAAAAGTAAAATATATTTGATGTTAATTTCATTGCTGGGTTGACCAAGGAAGCACATATCGCTAGACAGTAAGACATGGTACGGCATCAAATGGGACGAGAGATTATCAAAATGGTAGAGAAACAATGAAATGGAATTCTTTTGATTACAGAGAAAAGGTTAGTGAACCACTAATCTGGGGCCTGGAAAAAAGTTGACATTTTTGGAAGGATTCTCCCCAGGGCCTGGTTTTTCCTATAACCCGCCAATCCGGTTAGACACGGCGGGATTTTGTACCGGCAACCTCAGTAACCTGGCATCAAGAAAAAGTCAGTAACACCGAAGGCAAAAAGTGGAAGTTAACTGTCGGCTACAGGTGTCGGCTACCCACCCAGTACAGGAAACGTAGATAAGATGCAAAGCTGGGCAAGGTTGAATCGTCTTTAGTGCATTATGTAACCCACACCAGAAACCTCGTTTACACCAAAAATAGAACACAACTGTGTGGTTATAGATTGAAGTGATTCCACACTACGGATGGTACAGCCCGTCCCTTTTCACTAATAGTAATTACCGCAAAGTAAGGGCAAACACTGGAAGCGAATTGATACATTTCTTGGAATACTATGTTTAGTCACTGCTGTTGAGCAACTGACACCAGCGTTGGTCAGCATTCTGCACTCTCTAACTGATTCAAAGAAAGTGCAGAAAGAAAATACTGATCCCTTTGCTTTGAGAAATAAAGCAAAATAAGCTAATAAGTAAACGAGGCAGTTAGTAATAAATGGTAAGTAAGTAGCTAGTAAACAAGTGCTAAGCTGGCGCACTGAACTACCTCTTCATGGTCACCAATCGGTAACTTGGATATCAAGCTGAGTGCGCTGAGCTCAACGACTCCAAACGAGACTGACCATCCTGTTAACTTTTAACGTACTTGTTACTTCCGAGCAGGCCCTATTGCTCCTGGACCTATACGTACCCGAGATATTCCCACAAAAGTGGAAAACTGTCCCTCGGCGCCTTCACCCGCAAGCTAATCGTGTGCCTGGCTAACAGAAAGGAGGTCCGCCAAGGCAACTACGCCACCATCATGACCTCATACCGCCAAACGCGGAATTGTGCAGCGTGTGCTGTGCTCTATGGATCTTGGAAGAGACCATACAAAGGAAGTTGCGACCTACCTTCGGACGTCAAACACTACCAGACACACAAGCTATTGGACCCAAAATACGTGGATAGCCTGCCGAGTTGCGCAATGCTGCTACCTGATTGCAGTTCTATCTTGCTAGTTGCAGTGGACGAATTTCGCCGTACCATCCAATGAAACGTTCACTGACATCCCTGTAATAACGCATCGACGATATTAACTACCGCCTCTAATGCGGAGCTATCTAGCCCATCTCTCCAATCCATCAGTAAATGAAACTAGTGTACGTATGCAGTTTTTGCAGCTGATGACGGTGATGACGATGGATGGGCGGTACGTCCGCTAGTCAGTCAACGCCACACACGGAATGCTTCGCCAGTTCACGGCCAATGCTCTTACTGCGTATTTCCACTTTCCATTATTACTTTAAATTTGTCTGCCGTGTTTGTTTCGTGCCCTGGTGACTCTAGTTCATGTCTTAAATCAGGCTTTACCTGGTCAACTGGGACCAATTTTCATATTGTCCATTCCTGTTCTGTAATTTCATCAAATGGTCGCTAACCTGCAGAACCGTAGATTGTAAGTGTCTTCCCTTCAGTCCGCAATTCTACATCGAGACGATCTTTGGATGATATCTGACTACACCGCACCTCAGCAACTACATCCAACGTCAGTTTGGTGTTTGTTGGCATCTCGAGATCCTTGAATTCAGTTTCGCATAACAAACGGTCTGATGTGCCAAGGCGTTTGGGGCACCTTTCCGCCCCAGGTTGACACGTCGTAAATTCCTATGAGAACACTGTAGTAGTTTTCGGAAGTTCATCGCCACAGAGTGAGACAGGGAGATCTACTCTTTTCAATGTTGTTCATCACAGCCATGAATGAGGTCCTTGTCGATGTCACAACTGGACTGGCAGTTCCATGACAACTTGGTCGATGGTTATGCATTTACTGACTACTGTGTGAGTGTAGAAAGTCAGGCTCACCATAAAGAGAATCCTGAAGCAGATAATGTTCAGTTGGGAAGAGCTGAAGACGAAAGCGATGGTTATTTGTAGGAACGAAAACACCGGACAACCGCGGTTTCAGTAAAATCCAAAAGACGCCGTGACATATTTGGGTATTCTCGTTATTTTCAGAGGGGAGGGGGTCTGCAACTAACGAGAGTAGTTGCTGAACCTGCTCGAAAGTTTGATTCATACTGAGCTTAAGCAGCATCATCGAATGGAGGTCACAAATGACTACCTATCAACAAATTTGCTTGTGCTCAGCCAAGTTTACAGTATTAATCTCAAAAGCCTAGTCTAGTCTACAAAAAATTTTCAATCAGCTACATCCACTCTGTTAAATAACATGAGGGACTCGGTACATCAAGCCAGAATTCAACCATCCCGATACAGCAGATGACGCTTATGGAAAAGGAGGTGCTCTCTACCCAGTGCTGGGTTCGACCTTCTGAGGACGAGAGTTAGAGAAGCCCAGCCTGTTTATGGTGAGTAGATGATATTGTCATAAAACAGTGATCAGTTGTGGAGTTTGGTGCACATTCTGCAGCACCACGTATGATACTCGATATGTTTGTTACATTAGGACTGTAAAAGAAAGCGGAAAACGTCTCCTTGGTCCGCGAGCAGTCGAGAGGACCTATTTCGACACCTTTATTCAAAGTCAACCTAATCTCTACTTGCGAACGCTGAGCAGCGGTACTAGACGTCAGCATAGCGTTGGATATGTGCAGAGTAATTACGTGGAATGAGAAGAAGCAGGATTAATGTGCTGACAAATGTCCTCTAGCAACCATATCGGTGTCATCTGCCATCGTTCGTAACTTTACTTTTTTGGTCCACGAATCGATGATAATTTCATACCAAGGTATCTGCTTTCCTCAATCCACCAAAGTTGTTGTTAGACTGAAGCTTACTACGATCATAGTCGGTGAATTGTGTTTGCCCAGCTCCTTTGGTTCTCTACTGACTTACGATGTTTGTGTGCCATAAGTGTGTTCTTAATTGCCAGTGACTTTCACACCCTACCCTATATGACTGGCATCGCTTGCTTGATGCATAAGTCTGGACGATGCCAACGCTTACTGAGCGATGCGCACTGTTTTTCAGCTGCTGGCCTTTACATGTGTGCTTCCAAGCCAAACATTCTCACGTACCTTGGAGGTCATTTCGCCCGATCTAACGGCATGCTCCCAAATTGAACGTTTCCCTCACTTTTACTATACTACGTTACATCGTCCCACACCCTATGATTCTCATTTTTTGTCTATAATCATGCTCTTCTGAGATAAAGATTTGTAGGAGGAAGACGAAGGAAGCATCAGGGGAGGCTTCAGAACACTTCATTAGACTGGCTATAGAGAACTTGTGAGCAAGACCACCAGTTACGTGCCCTGAAACTCTTCTGATGTATCTTTTTCAGTCAGGTGGTGTGTGTTGTTCCAGTAGCAATAGGACGCCTCTTAAAACACTTTATAACCACCCGTCAAATCGCATGCCTCGTTCTGAATTCAGCATGGAAAAGAATGCTTTCCATATAAGGCGATGAGCTGAGATTTGTAGGACAACACTGAATGGTTGTAAGCTGCAGTGCCAAGATGAAGCGCGTGTTAATCTACCAGGCATCCGTTTTCCTAACTTGTGCTCTGAATTCGCTGATGTTAGCTAACCAGATATATAGTTCAACTACGTTGAGGATCAGATGCTTGGGGATCCTCAGCAGATGTTAAGAGATCGTGCAGCAATGTCATTCTGCTTAACAGTTGGTAAATTCGTAATCGATCCTTGCGCGACTGTGAGAACCTGTGGATCCTTGGGCTGAGAATGGATTAAACTCCTTGCAGGATAAATTAAGTACAGTTATAACGTAAATGGACACTCCATGCTGGACACTTGCCTACACAGCAATAAAAATGAACACCTGAGTTCAAATAATTAACTGGTAAACGTAGTTTGTCTAAATTGAGTTGACAAACACACCCACAAAGATTTGCAGCCAAACTAAATGCAAATTAGCGAATATACACTCATCCGCAAACTAATTTGGTTCTTTCGAGAGACTCACCTGGAATCCAGCTGAATCTCTCGTTTGTGATGTTCTCAGGCAACTGAATGTGCTGCACCAGGCCGCCTCATGCTTCAGTCGCTACGATATTTGGAATATCGCGATACACGCATATTTGTAATGTACTACTCATAAGGTTGCTGAAAATCCATCGACAGCCAACGACCGGTTTCAAGTAGAACATAAGGTTGACGGAAACCCGGGGACTGCGCCTACCTGATGAGCCCCAAGAAGGGCGAAACCGGTCGTGGGTTGTCGATGGATTTTCAGCAACCTTATGAGTAGTACATTATAAATGCAAATTAGTTGTTCATAGGTTAACAACACATGGGCTGACACTAGAAAACTAATACATTATATCCTGAACACCCCACTTTCATCAGGGTGCATTTTAGTTCATCTAACTTCACATTCCGTATGTGTCTGCACAAGAAGAATGTGGTCAAATCTTTACTCGGTAATGACAGTCATCTGTGACGTTTCACCTATAAACATTGATGACCACTTTGTTTGTGCGACTCACCAATCGCTTGACCTCACGCATGACTTTTTCGACGAACCGAGGTACCTTCAATGGATTTTGAAGATTAACTGCGTCGCGCTCACGAGCCTGTTTGATTAGTTTTTCCCAGAAATCTGGATAAGGTTCATACTGAGCTGGTCCGACATCATGTGTGGGTTTAAACAATGGTGGTCTCTGGCTTGTCTAAAACGATACAAATTGAGGAGTGACCAGTAAATCTGTAGGTCCTCTGAGGCGAACAGGAAGTTCAAATTAGCAAATGCTCTTCAAAACACTGGTACTAGAATGAGGTTCTTAACAAAAAAGATGTTCCAACATCCAAATCGATACTACCCATTATACGTTATTCACTACGCAGCTAACCACAAAATGTCAGTTACTCTTATGAATCTTCCCAGTACATTTTAACAAGACCTATGCGCTACTGTCGTTTAGGTAGTCAGATGCAACGGAACATATTTGGCAGATTTTTGGGTAGGAATTGTTGCTTCCTGTAAGCCAAAATGAAATCATTGTTGGAGATGTGCAGCAACGCACTAGTTAGACTCCTTGCGTCTGCGCAAGGAAAGGTAAAAAGCACTTCAACTCGACAGAAAGACTAACGTCGCAATATGAATCAGAACACGGTTGTCACTTTTTCATCTATGGCATCATTCCGTTGCCAGTATTTTCACATGACGTTGGCATTCCGAGGAAAATCCAGTGTTACTAGTTTCGGCACTAATAGTTTTCAGTAGTCAAGTTAATTCTTCGTCTCACTTCACGCCTACAGTGATACCATGCGGTCATATGTTAAATCAGGATATGTGACTTCCTATACTATGGTGTAATGAGCAAAGATGAAGAATAAAATTGCCTCATGGTTACGCAACAAACACACCAATAGTGAGAGTGCGAATGTCAGCCTAAATTCAGTCAGATTCTTGATGATTTGGCCAGAGTTTGGGCGGAACCACGAACTTCAGAAAGGGGTGTGATTACGTCGATTACAAAGTGCTATTTCCACTTGTATTACTTCAGAAGAACGAAGTGTGTGGCGAATACGTATGACGCCTGGTGTAAGTTAATGCTGGTCGACCTTCCGGTTGACCTAACTATACTCACTTCAGTGATTTGGCCGAGTTCGCCGGCTGAATTGGGATTCGGCCGGTGAAATCGGCCAAAACAGTAAAAAAAAATGACAGATAAAACGATTACTTACGGACTTTGACCAGCCACAGCCATGATATCGTAGACAATTGGCAGCAGGTGTTGGATCAGAAAACGACTTTCCGTGAATATTTTCCCTATAAATTCCCGTGCGTGGTTGTAGCCGCCCGTCGGGGCCTTCCTGATAACCATTAGCATTACTTCCAGATGGTATGCTTGGAACGTCCCTGAATCGGATGACATTGATTCGATTGCACTTGTGAAAAATGAGTAAAGGGTTGAAAGGTTATTCGTGCTCAGACACCTGGATGTGTCAGAGCATGATTACACGAAACAGTTTCATAGGACCTGAAACCCTCAAATCCTGGTAAGCAGTATTTAGCTACTCAAATTCATCAGATAATCGCATTCTAGACACGTCAACTTGTAGGCATGTGGTAAGTTTCGTATTCTGGTGCAAATTTCTCTTTCAACAATGTCCAAAAAATATGTAAGTTAGACACTATCATTATCAGGAGACTCGGACTTTGCTGAGGAGAGCTTTGCCAGAGAATGCCACCCAAGTGCGGCAATAGTATGCACTAACGAATGCTGTATGAGTACTCATTTTAGCACGAAATGCGCCTGATACTAAATAGGACTGTTATCGTCTGTTATCGTCTCACCGCGCTAGCTCAGTAACATTTTCTACTCACGACTGACAGCTCAATATCCATCTTCACTGGTAAGTGAAAAGCAAATGAACAACTATCGCTTTTCGTTCCAAAGGAGGCACATTGAAGCTTACTATCATCATTGTATGTGTAGACATTTTATTTTATTTATTCACCAGCCGGCGGATAAGAGGTGATTCAGTTAACATAATATGAAGCAATCATAAGTAGCTTTGTGATTTTATTATGGAGCTCCTACAACTCCCCCCAATTCAATAAATAGTTTCTACCAATCACAAATGATTGGTAAGTGGTATCATCGGTCAACACATAAACTTTAAAATGCATTCTTGCAAGACGAATTCAGTTACAGGTCAGATTCAAAATAAACAAGTAACTTTTGCACACGAGTAAAAATTTCATTTTCGTCTAATTGAGAACAGCAACATCAAGGCAAACTGGGTGCTGATAATAACTCATATTTGTGTTAAAAGATCACTTCCATGAGAGCAAAACATACACCAGGAGCGGCCGTCCAAATATGACATCGTGAAACTGAAAAGCGCGATTTCTGACTCAGGGTAGTCCAGGAAAAAATCGACGAATATAATGAAAAACACTGTGCCATTTTACAGACAAGAGTAACCAAACTCAAAGTGGGCAATAAATGACATTTCGAAAGACAGCCAGTCAGTGAATAACTGGATATTTGTGCTAACAAAAGTCTATACGTTTCAACTTTCCAACCTTTTTTCCATCTTGATTTATTTTTGCGCTTTCTTCACTACACAGCATCTGCATCCCAGTACTAAGAGGAAAGAAGACTGAAAGAGAGACCTATTTCCTAAGTCCAACACTGCCTGCAAGGAAACCTGGTATGACTTATTTCACCGTCAAGTCTAGGAGCTTGTATTCGATTTTCTATAACAAAGCGGATTATGATGTGAACACTGATTCTCAGTGACCAACCAGGATTCTATTTCAAACCAGCAAAAAATCGGCGGAAAAAGTCAGCTAGGAAAGCCATGAACTCACCAAGGCTTGTGCTCTTTCCACTGCTTCTATCTCTTCCGGTGTTTGCAGCATTGTGTCTGGAATCGCCAGTCCGCAGGGTCCAGGATACTTTGATCCCCATTTGGAGGTGATATTATAAGCGTTCGGCCCTGGACCAAAAGGTTTTAGTGGAGGAAAGCGAACGTCCCGGTTTCTGACTGAAGAACCACCCTTATGTATAGGGAAAAATTTTAAATTACCATAATCTTCACCGTCGCTAATGAGGTAATATGAGTAAAATGGTGGCAGTTTCAGTCATTTCACTGCTTTTTAGATTCCAATAAAGGGGCAGAGCAGCTCCCATCCCTTCATGCGGTACGCAGTAATGTTTACTACCCACGTTTGGGTAAAGTTGATTCAGTCTGTTAGACGCTGTCTATGGTCCTCAGAAAGTTCAACTTTATGGCAATTAAAGCCACCTTGACATCACTAATTATAATACTGGTATTTTTAGAAGTGCTCAGTTTGAGCCGACACAGAAGTGAATATAATCTTCCAGTCTACAATGAATCAGCTATACGAAATAATGCAGCGTCCCAAAGATAAGTGGCTAATTCTATTGCTAAAGATATATTATCATAGGAAGCTGTCGAAACATTTTATTCATTTGGTTGATGCGTTATGTTAAATAACCAACTAGGAGGTTAACGAACCCGCTCAAAGGAGGAGAGACTAACCTTGTTGAAGAGGAACTCATCATTACAATTTGGCTTAGCACAATGACACCTTGAGCATCCAGGTCAGCTTTGTCACAGTAACAAAGCTCCACTTTTGTGGTCGTAAACTTCATTTGCCTTTGGAGTGTTCAGCATCCTCAACCTAAATGCTTGAAAGCACATTGACTGAAAATTTCTACATTACATAAGAACGACGACCAGTTTTCCACACTTAAATCTGAACAGCTATTAGTGTCAGGTAAGAATGAAAAATCTGTTGTTATTGTGTCGGAATATTGGTGCCTCGAGTAATTGATTAGGCGGCTGTTGATCTGTTCGCCAGTTTGACAGTTCGCTTGCAGAGGTTTCTCACCATCCGAGGTAGCACTCAGTGCACTAATGGATTGGAACATTCCCTCTTCGTACATGTGCTTATACAGACGGCAAACAGAAGCTTTGACCTATAACTTAACTGGCCATTCATAATTAACGCGCATGGAGTTTGACTGGTTCGATCATGTTCTCTGTTGCGTTGTGGTTTGCACTTCTTGAGTTCGGTTGCTACACTGCATCGGGAAGTTGTCATCTATTATCTTAACTTCTGGTTGATCCGTCCGCGATCTGTATGCGTCGTGTCCACCTTTCGGTCGTTTGATTGGTTGATGGCGCAATTCCCTTTTTCAGTAGTTTGCTGCTTTCATCCTGATTGGTCCCTTCCCAGCTTGTAGTTATATTCACGAGCCAGGTTGATTAGTTTGTATGTCCTCTCTCAGTTGGGCTGTCGTTATTTTTGGGCTTCTTTGGTGATCAGATTTGGTTGTTTTCATCAAATTTTGATCGAATTACTTTACCCTTATAACCCAACCGCCTCTTTGCATTGGTTCTGTTGGTTTCTTCTTTGACTCTTCTTTTTCGCTTTGAGGTTTTGATGGCTCTAGATTTCCTCTGTCCTCAGAGGTTTACGGACAAGGTCAATCTCAACATGTTTATTTATTGCTTCACCCGTGGGATACCAAGCCTCCGTGGTTTTGCGTTTTTTAATTGTTCTTGCTTGTTTTAGTATGCTGAGGTTCTTCCAGTCGGCTTCTTGTCTCTCCCATCCTTCATGTACACGAGCGGGCGAGAGTTATGCGTATTTCCTAGTAGCGAGCTTGTGTTCATTGACTCTGGTCGACGGATTCCTCCCTGTTTATCCCACGTAGTGTTTTCCACAATACACGCGTTGCGTTTTGTAGATAACGGTAATCTATCTCATCGTATTAGGGTCCCTCATTGTTTTCGATGGCGCTCTTTACAGCATGTTTGTAGGCCTATTATTATGCCACGCTGTCGTAGTATTCTTGCGCCATTCCCATTACGCTTCTGGTGTTCTGCAGTGTAATATTTTGCTTGTGCTTTGGGCCGTCGAGCTAGCTGAGTTGAATTTTATTAGAAATTCCAGATGAACTCCCATGAGTGACCGCTTTGAAAGACTTTGCATAAACGTCTCTCTTCTTTTGCCTGGGATTCCACTATGTTTCACTGTGTTTCAATTTGCCTGAAAAGCGTCCAAATGCAGCTCCGTTTGTGACAGTTCGGAAGGTTGCTGTGTTACCTCAGAATTTGATTTATATACTCAGTCTTTCTGTAAGCTTTCGTTTCCATTTGTCCATTTCGCAGCCTTGTGACGAAGACATCTAAAACTGCAAGCTTTTTGTTGTTTTCCTCTTCCATCATGACATTCATATCATCAAAGACGCTGTTAATCAACTGGATTATTGGTTATAGCTCAGTCTTTTAGATTACGACGAAAGTATCGTCTACATAACGTGTCCAAACTCTAGGATTATTGTCTGGCTATGCGATCCCTACCAGTTTTTGCACTGTAATCTCGACGACGAACCCTAAATTTGGTGCTAATCTCTGTAGTTTATGGCATTTGCAGTTGAGTTTGAAGCACCTGGTCAAGCTAGAGGTCATAGAGGTCCGACTTAATCACGTGCTGCCGTCTGTAGGATGAACAATCCAAAAACTTAGCTGACAAAATCAGCAGGAGCCTAACGCGAGTGAAACACCTCAGAAAGTTTAAAACCAAGGAATATTAGTGAATGTGAGCCAAACAATCCAATAATCTATGACTCTATAAAATTCTGGAACACACATAGAAACTATACCACTACGGCTAATTGTGTCACTTTCAGGCACGCTGAGAAAAGAGTACTATCGAAAACAAAGGGGAAACCCAACACAATGGATTAAACGAATGTTTTCCAGGAAATTCAATGCGTGAGTAGTAAAAAACACTACGTCGGATAAACAGAGAGAAAACTGTTGCCCAGAGTCAGTAAACAAAAGCTCGCTATTAGGGAACATGAAGAACTCTTGCTCTCTCAATTGTGTTTAGCCTTATCCTCCAGCTGGTATGGTTAGCTTTCCAAGCAGTATCAAAATACCTGAATAAATCATCTTAAACCTAACCTAAATGTCCCTGTACTTCAAGAAAAACCCCATGATTTTAATTGGCGAAATATTTTTTACACTGTTACTTACTTGCAGACTTGATAACTCTTACGTGATAAGAAGGTGCTCTGTTGTGGAAACGGTGAATCTGAACAACTTCTACACCCGGCGGAGTATTTCCTCGTAAGGGTGGCTGTCTTTGCCAAAACTGTAAATTCAGCCAAAGGTGCTGTTTATTAAGAGTTTTTCGGTAGACGACACGTGACTTCAATTGGCAGGTAGTCCAATCAGACAACAAGACACTACTTGAATCTAGCTGAAAAATTATATCAGTGATATCGACAGACTGCGAATAAATTTTAAACAATTAACTAACCTACGACGAACAAACCAAGACTCTTCGTGGGTTTTTTGACATCACTGCCTGTTTAAAATACCAGTGGATCGGTTTTCGTTGGAAGCCATCTTTCCGTAACCATGAGGAAGGTATAGGCCAAATGCAGTCAACTAGTGAGCTGGTAGCGAAATGCAGAATTCATTACCAGCGAGCGTAGATGATTGGAGATGATTCCTGTCTATGTTGAGAAGACCAGAAGCGCCACATTGCTGTTTCATCTTCAGCAAAAATCACTAGCAGTGCACTTACACCAAAACATTCTAGGGAGACTCAAACTCATGGCCTCCCAACACTTAATCATTTGACCATATACAACGCATTTAATTGCAGTTTATCGCCTTAATTCTTTAAATCTTTAGTAATAAAACAATTTAGTCAGTGTATTTTCACATTGCTGACACTTTCCATTCATTTTGATGTGTGACGTTTATTTGCAAATTATTATCGAGATTACTCTTTGGCAGCTAAAGCCCCTTTAAAACCTGTACAAAATTTATATTTAGTAAAAATGGTGGCGATAGTATAACTGCATGGCATTTTTGCTTGAATTCGCTTTGCAACAATGACGGGATAATTAACACACATCTCTAAAGAATCACTTCAACTTGCTGTCAGCAAGTAGTCAAGGTTTTTTCAAATGGCTAGGTAGTGACACTTGGTGACAACATCAAACAGATTATGTACGTGATGCGCAGTACAGATGTGCCAAACAATTTCAAGTTTTCTGCAAAAAAGCTAAATTTGGCTTATTTATGCCTGAAATTTGGTTGTGTAACCAATGTTTCGTATCCAGAATATGCAAACGTTACTCTTGCTGTTAAGGAAGTTCAAAAGCGGGTTGCTACCACAACCAAAAAACGTAATGATTTTTAAACCAAGTCACTGATATACTCGATTTGTAATTTGGCACTTCTGGCGATCTTGTGTAGGTCTGAAGACAAGACAGACTACTTACGCCCTCTTCAATGTGTTCTGCTTGGTATTATGCTCGTAGCGTACTAGCGTCCCAATGTTAATTTGTGTTGCTGTGCAGCTGCAAAACTGAACTCTTAAAAGTGCATCAAGACCTATTTCTCTACCAATTTTGCTATGAGTATTCTTATGGCAGGGGTCAGTCTAACTGGTTAGAAGGATTGTTTTAGAATGGATTAGTATTAGAATGGATTGTATTATGAACGCTTTGAATACTACTTCTTCCCAAAACGTAGGTATATTGCTATCCCTAAATGTCAGACTGCACAGTGCCAAAATTGGCATCCTGTGTAAAGATGTAGAGTGTTGTAGCACTAATAGATGTCCCTGGTTCAGCGAAAGTACTTTCATAGCTGTTGGCCTTTTACTCAGTGGTAGCCTCTACTGACAATTTGTTGGTAATGATCGGTAAGTCCTTGATGATATTGGCTAGCAAACCATCAAGGCAGTTGGCTTCTCGTCGGTAAGTACAGGCAGTGTCCATCCGAATGAGTCTTCAATTATTGTCAAAGGGGGCACATTCTGAACTTATTTTGGTTTTGTTCTGCGATTTTGCTTAAATATTTTCCTTTGGATGACTAGTTGCTTCAAAAAGCATAATGTTTGTGTATCTTTTAATACGCTAAGTTCTCCCCCGTATATAACTTTCACAGATGTCGCTTGAATTTTGTTCTACGTTTTAATATGATTGGCGCTTCTGAACGCCTCCTTGGAGTGTATTGTTCATATTTTTTGTTTCTTTCTCAAATTTTCATGTCTACGCCACAATTTTGTTCTCTTGAGAAAGCTTTCAGTTTGTCACACTCTTTTCCTGTTTTAAGCTTAACAGTTGGAGTTGTTTGGTTTTCACTCACTTGTTTTCGGAGGTTGGTCTGTGCCTAAAAATGATCACTCCTTCTGAGATGTTTTTCTGGGGTCATCGACAGGCTCCCCTTAGAATAGAGTGGATCAAGGTTTATTCGGTCGTTTTCTGATTCTATTTGTTGTGAATACATATTGCCCCAAAAATAGGTTTTCACCTTGCGTGCTAAGTAATATCCACCCGCCAGTGCCCACCGGCCGATGTTGAGTTTATCAAAGTTGCTAGCACGTAACGAGTGGATTGTAGCGGTGACACTTTAAAATTTTAGCATCCGGTGCCATAAAAATTACGGCAATCCTCATGCGCATACTTCCGACCACCCGGTCGTCCACGGTTTATGACACTGACTGTACCGTCATACCGCCTTAGTACGTAATAAACGGGAAGGAGCATACCTCTACCCTGCCGTTGTCACCTCTGCCTTGGATAATTGTTCTAAGTATCTTGAGCGCCTTGGTCCAATGACATTTTAGAGATCTCGGTTACATCTGGGTGTAACTGCACGATACATTAGACAATGATTAAGCACTTAATAACCAAAGAGCATCTGTATCCCACATATTTAAATCGGCATCCAAAAATACCAGTTCCTAACTCTCTCAGAACAACTTTGAAGGATGGCTTATCTCTGTACTTGCTAATCCTCACATTGTAAGCACTAAGGATGCGTGGCTCTTTCTTGTATTCCTTAGGGATGAATCAAGGTGCAAGATACAGTGAACACCGTAAGTATTGTAACCTCTGTTGAACTTTCATAGCATTGTTTGTGGCCAGGTTTCTGTGAAAGTGGACCAGTTTCTAGGAGTGGTTAGTTTGCCAGACCGAAGCTGATTCATAGTTATCCTATCTACAATAACCTGTTTAGCAAATGGTTTCTACACTCAAATCTTTTTTTCCTGTTTGCTTCATAAAAGGTATTACGTAAGCTGTCTTGGCATAATTGTCATCCTTCTAGGTTTTAGATAGAACATTTTGAAGTGTTATATTTTTTGCATTTTGGAACGTTCCCAAGTGCTTACTAAAATCCAGCCAAGCAATCCTTCCAGTGATTTAAGGTTGGTTAGTCCAGTGTCTCTAAATACTGTAGGGGCTGCATCCTTTTTGACTTTTGACACTGCAACTGTGGCACTTTAGTATTGGTCAGTTTGATGCATACACTGACAGCAGTTCCAGATGAAGATAAACAGAAAGGCACATAGGAAACCGCAAGTGAGACTTTTTTCTTGTTAATTTTTGAGTTCGGACTTATTTTAAGTCTGCATGGACAAATAACTAGTCCATAACGCTGATGAACAACTAGCAATCTCCAGCTGTTGAACCTTTAAGTGGTGCTGAGATTTTAAGAGAAACGGAAAGTACTAGTAAAACCTTTCTTTTACAAATATTTGGAGTGGCCCTCAAGGATCCATCCCAACAGTAGGACGCACTGTTTATTCCCATTGTCCACATTACTTCCTTGTGAGCATATCATTAGCATCGTTCCATGAGAAAATAGTTTACTGACATTAGTTGAACTGCAAATGTCCAGAAGTGCACGCTACAGAAACATCTGGGTTGCTTAAAACATTATCCACGATTAAACATGTTGCTCATTCACTCCAAATAGGAAAAGGTTCTATCCCATATTTTAGCTGGCTCTGCAAGCAGTCTTCGAAGTCATATCCGGCACACTATTACAATTATTGACCTGTGAGTTTTTTCATGCGTTGACGTGCACAGTAGTAAACTCACCAAGCAAACAGTGACACCAAACTGCACCCTCAATCAAATTGGATGCCCTACATGTGCTACCTGTAACCAGGACCAAACTCCTCTTGTAAGGAAAGGAATGGGCTAGTTGTTCAGGAAGATAATTCTCACCGAATAATGAGGGAGATAATGGCAGTCTGTTTTTTATACATTTTTCAGTGTGCAGAATATGAGATGACCCGGCTGATGAAGAAAGGCAGATATCAGTGTAACGTGAACTTATGTTCGATTGAACAACTCATAAGTCGGTGTACTGAGTACCCTAAATTTTGTAGGGGAATAATGAAAGCCATTAGTCGGCGCCTTTGGCTCAAAAACCTGAAGACAGGAAACGGAAGCTGGCGGTGAATATAGAAGTCGTGCAAATTTTAAGGAATACAACCATCTCACGCTCTAACTCCCCATTCTGGAGGGCAAGGGAACAGTGTTATTCCGCTTTCTATCCATTGGTCAGCTTCATTTCAGGAGCCCTGAGAGTGTCACTCAGATACCTTCGAGTGTAGCTCAATGACCCAAGAAGCTGCACAAACCGTCACATCACGATAAGGTCTAGTTCCGCACTGATGAGCCTATTTTTGTTGTTGCCTCTTGTTAGTTAATCTACTTCAAATGGTTCACTTCGGTAGCACGATTTTACACAGCATCAGGGTCCTAAATATATTAAAAAGGTCCAGTTCACGAGACTGTTGGATGGCGCATTTCCCCACAGTTATGCTGGTCCACTGACTGCTTAGTTTCCCTCTGTAATTCTTGCTTTCGAAGCGTTCATCAATTTCAGCTATGTGTTGGTCCGCATTAACGCCATATTTGCATAGAATGTTTGACCATATTTCCGGTCCTGTAGCCTCATTTCCGTCTGCACGCTTGCTTCTAGCTTGTGGTTCTGCTTGTCTACACTGTACTGACTGGTGATGTTGGTTTTAGGTGTCACTCCTAGGCATGCGCAGCCTGAGAAACTCCATCAACTGTGGCGTTTTATACCTTTATTTTGTTTCCACTAAAACATAACGTACTTCTACAGTTAAATAGGCATAAACTATAAAAACGTGCATTTTCTATAAGTATACACAAAGACAAACATGGTCACGTGCTTCGACTTTCTTTATCATTTTGTTCGCACTTACAGCAGTCATTCGCGTGTTTCATGTAATAACTCTGGTATCAAAAGATCTTCATCTATCTTCGGATTTTACTGTATGTGGATACTGTTCAAAAGAAGATACCTGGACACTCATAATTGGATCACTGTTTATTCACTGACCTAGGCCAACGACGAACTGTTTTAAAAATAACAATTTTTGGTGAGTCTGTTTCATTTCACCCTTCCTATTATTTTTTTCTCAGTGTAGCGTTTATTTATAATTCTTTGCCGAACACTCCTGGTAAAGTAACTTTCACAGTATCCAGACCACGACAATACTCATGGAAAACGCTAACCTAAGAAATAACCCCACTCGCTTCTTCTGGTTTTTGTGCGGAAATTAAAATTTCAATCTCCCAGGCGTAATCGAGGAGGGTATTTAGGTGTGTTAGCACGCTTCTGAAGTTAGGTAAGTGTAACAGATGACGTTTCGGGAAAGCTTACCTTAATATCACACTGGCTTTGTTCCGGTTTGTAATCCCAAGGTGCTGGATAAGCCACAGCATCTGTTGAAGTTAGTTCACGTTTGCACTCTGCCAACGAGTTGAATGGTGCATAACCAATATAGTATTCATGACATTTAGAAATTATCGGGTCATACGATCCGGGTCCAACATTAGAAGAAGTTCCAGTTTTTAGCTGGAATGTGAAATTTCGAGCCGCTCTGTCATACATCTTCCAGAGATGTAAAAAAAGCCAGCAGACCACGAAAACTAAAGTACACGTTTGAAATATCGCGAAAGTAGTCAAGGCTAGGTCAGGTCAAACACCCATCTAGGCTCGTGTGGTGATACATAATTAGCCCAGACTCTGCCGAGTCTAAGACAGTTCTAACAGAAATTATTCCTCCGTAGCTGGTTTTTGGCTCCGTTCTGGACTAATCCATTCCATTCCTTATTATCAACTGATCCAAGTTCACGTGACAAATGAGTTAACGGAAATAGTTGCTGGAAACCCGAACTATTTTTGGTCCTCGTTTATTGATATGAAGCGTAATCTACCTCTTTATGGAGTGGTGTGTGTTGGCGCAATCACCGTTTTTGTTGTATTTTCTTCAGAACCTTGATTCCACTTTTGGCATTACCCGGTCGACGCACTACTAGAACCCGAAAATTAGTTATACGACCAGAAAAAACGGGGAGCACTGACAATGGCAGCTTGTTGGGTAAAATTATAACAATAGGCTTATATGCGTAATACTGATACAAGTTGATGATCCATGTTGCAAGTCCGGACGCAGGTTTCTTCTTCACTGGTGTAGCAGTCACACGTATTTCCCGACTATCCGTGAGTGAAAACGCCGTAAGTCCTGAGCGGATGTGCTCTGAGTTGGGCGACGTGCGCAGCCCTGTTGAGCTGTGTCGTGTTGTTGTGTTGTAATCTTATATGTATAGACGTTTGCGTGTGTGTGAGTGTCAGCACAGGACTTGTTGCTACGCCTATCGGACGGTAGACAGTCGACGTCTGATGAGTCACCCTTGTGTGTCGTGATTTGTACGTGTATGGAAAGTAGGCGAGTCTTGATATCTATGGCTTGACTGTGAGCTGTATAGTCAAGTGAGTCACAATTCTGTGGCGTGATATGTTGGTGTAACAAAAAAGAAGATCTCGCAATGTGGCGAGTGATGGTGAGCTGTGTGGTCGTGTATGTGGTGACGCGGTTGCTACTATTGGTGCACAGGTGATGAAAGTCATAATACAAATCAGAAGGTGAATGTGCACTAATAGAATTTTGTAACGTGGTTGCAACACGTATAAAAATGAATACAGTGCGAAATGAGAGCAAGTCAAAAAGGAACTTATCGTATGTGAGAGTTCCTTGGTGAAAGTCCGGACGTCGGTAACGTGTTTTCTCCGCAGTTTGGCTGCTACACGTTTTCCATGAGTGTCCGTGGAATTGTGAAGAGGTTGACGTCCTGCTCCCTGCGCGCGCGCGAGCCTGTGTGTCTTGACTGGGTTCGGTTTGCCTTTATGTAGGTCTCAGTGCATGTATGTGGGCGCGTCGGCACATGAGTGGTTGCTACGCTGACTAGGCGGTGCAGACAATCGATGTCCGATGTGTCAGCTTAATGCGACGTGTTTGTGCGTATGAGAAAATAAACAAGTCTCGCGGTTCAGTGAGCGACTGAGTTGAACAGTCAAGTATATGGGTGACTGGGTCGCTACACCACAACCCCCCCGACTGTTGGCACAGCTAGCCATAGGGTCGCACGCATCAGTCATTACATTTTTGCCATAATAGTACTGACCTTCAGAATGCTAAAATAACGCCTTTGGTAATGAGAAGAAGCACCATCGCTCATCGTTTATTCCCTCACTTGTTGTGACTTTAGGCCATTTCTGTAACCCTTCACCGATGACTTTATCTCCTTAAACGTACAGAAGACAATATACCGGGGTACAGAAGCATTGTATCGTATCGATGAACAATAACTGTCAGCGGACCCAAGCTTTATTGCCATAAAGTGTGGTTATGAATGGACTATTGTCACCGTTCACTAAGGCTACCCAACGCATCTCAACTTTTACAGACTTTTTGAAGACATACCATTCATTGTGAAATGATTCACACAGCTGTAAATAAATATTTGTTGCTGCAGTGGGTAACGCGCAGTTCAATCAGGGACGGAATGTACTCCAAGCGTCCATCGAGAAACACCCAAAAATATTGACAGTTTTCACTCAAAAGCGTGAGTTTGCTTTGCCCCGGCAGAAGACGGACCAGTTTGCAAGCCCATCATTCCTCGTATCAGTCATCAAGGCAGATAAATTTTCCTGCATTGTCGTTAGCGCCTAAATCTTAAATAAACATTGCATATCCAAAAAAACTAGATATGTTTTTCTGGCTCAGTAAGTCGATGGGGACATGCAGGAAGTACACTGCTAAACACTATAAAGTAGGGTGTAACGAGACAAAAACTGAACGTGACACACGCGGCGAAACATCCGAAGACGTTTAGTTCTTGGTGTGTTGCAACATGTCCCAAACTGTTGCCCATGTATAAACGACTCATAATTACCAGTTATTGATAACTGAGAAGTATGGTGTACGGATTCATGATTTTTTTGTAAAAACAGGACAGCTTTTGCTAGTTCGTCCATGCCTTTGTGTTGTGCGGATTGTATGGATTAATACGCCGCTACCGTCTAAGAATATCCAGGTTATTTTCGGGGTCTGTATTACAGTGAGATGATGAAGCACCCTCAGTTGTCAAGGTTTCAGTTCCTGAATAACCACGGTGGCGTTAGTGTATTTCGTGTGGTTCACATTGTCCTGCAACATGCATAGGTTCCACCTATTCGTCGAAAGTCTCGGATGTAGCGACGCGACCTTTGAGCGTTAGACGGCGTAGAGATACGTTTACATTTTTGCCCTCTGGATAAAATACACGGTCGAACTCTGGATCACAACAGTCAAGCTACCCTCTACTTAACAAGTGCATATATTGAGGATTGATGTTTGCGTTTTAAAATGATCGGCTTGGAACGATTGGAAAATGATTAACGTTCCCATAGGATTCAAATGACGCAAACGGATAGTTTGGCATGAACGTTGGAACCTGGTGTTGTGCGTTCTGGTGGTGCAGTGTACTTCAGGCGATGTAACGTGCGATGAATTTGAGCATATGACCCAGTCTTGGTGAAAGACGCATGCCGGGGTGGGTGAAGTGATTAATGATGTGGCTGTGGTCCATAGCCATGCAGCTCGTAGTTGGTATTGCGCGTCACAAAAGCTTGCACTCTTCGTGAAGCATTTTACGCTCCGATCCTGTCATCTGCGAGCATTTGGTCTAATTTGGTTGCTAAAAATCATCTGTCCATCGGTATTCGTAGCAGCTGGTTTTTACTTCGCTGCAGGATTTTTAATAATGTTGGGCATTCGAGTTTAGCAGATGCTACGGCACGCACACCTAGGACAACCCACCGGCCGCCAAGTAGAATTTCAACTTCATCGTGTGACAAGAAATCTCGTATCCGAGAAGGACGTTTTTACAGAGTTTCGGCGACAAAGTTTGGACCATTCGGACATAGCAAACTTGTGTTAAACGACACTGGACAACAAGCTTTGGGGAAACATGACTGAATCGCCAATGTCATAGTTACTGCGGAATATCACAGAAATAGTTTCGAGGTATGAGTGCGTGGGAGTAATGAGGAGATTAAACATCTAGAGCCACTTGAATCAACGATAGCCCGGACGTTAAAGCTGTTGAAGAAATTATCTTATAGTTTTGGATAAGGGCCTGGAAGTGCTGCAAGAGAATGTTGGGAAAAATGAGGAACGTTGAGCAGAACCCATTTGTCATCTTGGGGTTTTGGATCTGCGAATGAGTTGAGAAAGCACTTTTCCTCAAAGCTATTGAAAACTGAGTCTTTGGCAAAACATTTATTACAAAAGCAACGTTCGTCAAGCCCTGGTTTCAACATTACCAAAGGAAGATGTAGGTAGATAAAAATTAAATAGGTACCAATGTATGAGGGAATATGAATGCTTTCTGTGCAATTTCGAGATTTCGCACTGCTTCAGAGCTTACACCAAGTCAACAGTCCCGAATAGCGTTTGACAGTTTTCCGGACTGCTTAGTTTGTGTTTTTAATGGTTGCAATTATTTTGAATTCGCAAGCTTCAGCAAGTGAATTCAGTTTAAGGAAGACATGATCGATATCTTGACCGAATACTTGGTTGTGGCAGCTTAGAGTTCGCGTGCCACGCGATGTTTTCAAACGAACGTGAAGTTTTTTCAGCAATCCTATTGCAGAATCACAGTCAGTTCATTCAGCGGCACAGTTACGCAAAGTATGGTCAGTGTGGTGAACAGGTTTCTAGCTTGTTTGCAACTGAGGTTAGGTGTTTGTTGAGGGAATATGGATTAGAATCCGCGTTTCTTGGCATCTAGCATCGGAGATAAGTTTTGAAAATCGCACATCGGAGAAAATGATCAACTTCTTCACTAGCTTTTAAATTCCTGTGAGGGTTGGGTGGTTCCAGGTAGAGAATGGTGACAGAATAGAAGTGTGTAATGTTTGCTTAAACCGTGGTAGATGAGTTGCAACTGCTGACATTTGACGAGCAAGATCTATGTTGACACGACGGAGTGCCAAGCCTGCGTGGATTTTGGTGGTGCCGTAAAACATCCCAACATGCGTGAATGAAAAATTCAAATACTTGTGGCCACTGACGGAAGCAAATAGACGGACGCGCATGTCACTTTTAATGGAAACAAACACTACCGTAAATGATCAGCAGGCGACTGTCAGTCCAAGGCACTTTTGTCCTCATAATAGGATCAAACCCGCGGATTATATAACGCTAATAGATGCAGGGAAACTTATACGGTACTGATGACGGATACAGCGAAAAGCTGGTAATTCCACCTCGAAAATCCCAGAACCCAAATTTATTTAGCGAATAAAAACCGACTGAAGCAACCGCGCCCAAAACTCAGTTAAATAAGAGTACGGCTATGCACGCAGAGAAATAAAAACAAGGAGATATAAAAAGGTTATCCAGTGATGGTTGCTGTTACCCAATTTTATTCACAACTAAAAAACTCAAAGAAGAGAAGACTGTGCGTGGCGGCAACACGCGTGCATTGGAACCAAAACGTAACCAGAGGTAAAACGACAGGAAAACGGAATAGCCAATGCAGTTCGGGCATGTGTGCCTGTAATAGAGAGAAAGGAAGGTGTACATACAATATATTATGGGATGAACACGTGTAAGCTGGTGCAGTCCAGTTTCAGTTGCGTTACGGTGACCCTTCCCGAGCCTCGAAAAGTGCTTGCAACGCGTGTACTTATTGCCACTGTTTGGCGGACAGGTGAAGGAGAGACGAAAGTTAAAGAGTGGGCCAGGGCAATGCGGAAGAGTGATATTTAGATGAACGTAAAATTGACAACGCAAGTCCTTATGTGCTTGACTAAGTTCTTGAATGACGCAAGCGCTTTCTGGCTTTCTGGTGTGGGATGAATCGTTGCCCAAGGGTAGTCAAAGGCAGTCAGAAGCCGCTGGCGCTAGGTCAGCATGTGACTAAAATCTTTTTGATTGAGGGCAGTTATTCCCCCGCTTCTTGCGTGCATTGAGGTCTTTTGCTTAGTAGCAGTCAGTGCGACAAGTCACTCACGTTGCCTCTTGTGTCGGGAATTTTAAGGCGGGTTTGTTCAGCCATAGGTTGCCGGTCTCCAGGAGTGTTTTCAGTGGCAACGGAAGTCTTCGTTTTCACTGGAGTCCAGTTCGGCGAAGTGACTGAAACTGTATCTGTTTGATGGACAGTATATTTTTGTGTGATCAGCTGGTGAGATGACTGCAGAAACTTCCGCATCGTTGAACACTGTGTCCGGGGTCATGGTATATGGGTTGTCCACATTCATCTGCGCACTGGAGTTCGCGCTCACCGCCACTCTGCTTGTTGTGGCTTGCTGTCTACAGCTTGATTGTTATCATCGTCTTCAGTGTAAGGTGCTGGGTTTCGCTCGTCCACATCACCAACATGACAAAAAAGAACTTGTGTTGTGTTGTTGGAAGTCTCTTCATGCACTTGCTTCAAGTTGTCGGATAAAGTCTGAGCTATTGTGTTTCCTTCCGTCTCCCTTGGCGGCTTCTCATTATTATGAACTTCATTATCGGGACTTGAATAAACCGCTTGTAAGGCACCGAATGTGCGGTCAACTCGCGCCAGCGGTTTTGTTGTGGTTATCGCACTCAAGTCCGGACATAGAACATCAGGTGTGAAAGTGGTGGGAGAAAAATTGCTGACCGGATGATGAGAGTAAAGCATTGAGTTGTTGGAAGGGGGATTCATGTTGGGCGACAGTGAGGGACATGACTCGGCGATCGTTCGACGAGCAGGCGAGACAAGTTAGTCCAGAGGATGTCCGGTTGTGCAGACAGCGAAACGCTTGAATAAAATACACGGCGGACGGCAGGGTCATCTAGATGGGACACGACATAATAACTGTGATACTGCGGATGTACCAGTGGAAGAAATGCCTTCATGCGAACCGATAAGAGCGTAAAGTCGTCACCTATTTGAAACGTCTCAGGTTCCTGCAGAGGTAACTGGAAACGGGACATAATCAGTTTTGAAATGCCGACCGATTCTTTGACGGTCTCGTCGTTTGTGTGCCGTTATATTTGAAAGGAAGATCGAAAATGAACCCGGAAATTGGCTTACCCTACCTCAGTCATCAATGTAGCGTGGGATGTCAGGAAGTCAGCGGTATTCGAGGTTCGAGAGGCTGTTGCGACGGCACACGTCGGTTCTGAAATGTCCAGATATAGAGAATGGCATTACTGAATCCACACGGCACACACAGCCCACATTCACACAGGTCGGGTGACACAGAAAAAAAGACCGGAGTGTAGCAACAACACCTGTTTTCATTCGGGGCCGAAAGCGGAAGTCAGGGGTACAAAGATGGTCAAGGTCAATCAGAGGGTTGTACAAGCAGGGTCCGGGGCCCGAGGTGGCTCGTCTGTGTTACCTGCAATAGGTAGAGAGAGGGAGAGAGACACACACTTAAAGTCATATGATAGACGTGCAAGCAGGTAATGTCGAGGTTCATCTGCGTTACAACATTAAAACACGAATTCCGCGCCCACATGTGACTCCGAGTTCATTTAAACAACTCCTAATAATACCGCGACCACGTGTGGAGATTTTAAGGGCCATGATATATCCATCAAACACTAAAACGTTATGTTGTAGATTTCTTGTTTCGAACAAAGGTTTCAGAGAAATTTTGGGGTTGCGTCTAAGGCTTGGCCGACTTCACCGGGCTACAGTCCTAACTATTGAAATGCGCGCTATGACCTTCAGAGTCGGTTTAGTCAGTGATCCTTCTTACGCCAAGCGTACCAATCGCGGTAAGCTCCCATTTGGCTGCATATCTATCGCATCATGAGAATATTCGGAGTAATTACCGAATACCAAGTGTCCCATGCACAAACAAAGCCACTGTGTTTTATCCAACCACCGTGAGGGGATCAGCTGGGCGCCGCTCGTCCATAGAATGGAGTTTACGAAATGCGAATTCGTATCCCCTTTGAATCAGTTCATGATTGCTGGAAAATGGAAGCTGGTCAGAAAAATTGGTGGTGGTTCATTCGGCGATATATATCTGGGTCATAATGTTGCTACAGGAGAGGAGGTCGCGATAAAACTTGAACCAAGCACTGCTCGTCACCCGCAGTTGTTTTACGAAAGCCGAGTTTACAGAATTCTGCAGGTACTTCCCGGTTAGGTTATTAATACATGCTCTAGAATGGAGTTGGGATCCCCAGGGTGTACTGGTTTGGTACTGACGGGCCCGATAATCGCTACAGAGCGATGGTTATGGATCTTCTAGGCCCAAGCCTTGAGGACCTTTTTACGTTTTGCGGAAGGCGCTTCACAATGAAGACTGTATTAACTCTGGCGGAGCAAATGCTTTGGCGTATAGATTACATCCACAACAAGAGTCTCATACATCGGGACATAAAACCTGATAACTTTCTCATGGGCATAGGGCCGCACTGCAATCGTGTCTTTCTCGTTGATTTTGGTCTAGCAAAGAAATACAGGTATGTCTTTCCCTACTTGCTTCCATTTCCTTCCAGAGATCACCGATCTAG